AGTACAGGGGCACGATCACTTCCCTACTCCTGCTGGCCACACTATTTCTGATACAGGCCAGGATGCCATTGGCCTTCTTGGCCGCCTGGGCACACTGCCGGCTCATGTTCAGCCGGCTGTCGACCAGCACCCCCAGGTCCTTTTCCGACAGGCAGCTTTCCAGCCCTTCTTCCCCAAGCCTGTAGCGCTGCATGGGGTTGTTGTGACCCAAGTGCAGGACCCAGCACTTGGCCTTGTTGAACCTCATACAGTTGGCCTGGGCCCATCGATCCAGCCTGTCCAGGTCCCTCTGCAGAGCCTTCCTACCCTCGAGCAGATCAACACTCCCGCCCAACTTGGTGTCGTCTGCAGTTACATTGGTGAGAAGGAAAATCAACCTATTTGCAAGTTGGGCTTAAAACGTTGTATTTCAGCCTTTCAATCAGCAGTGAAATGAAACTGGGTTTGTCTCCAGGGAGGCCCCTCGCCTCACTGCCCGTGGAGCAGGGGCTCGGCAAGCAGCAGAGATGCTGCGGCTGCATGGGAATAGGGGTTCTGCCCAGGCAGAGGCGCCTGCGAGGGATTCACCCACCCACTCGGCACCACCCCGCTACTCACCGGGAGAGCTCCATGCCAAAAAACGCCCCGAGAGAGGGGCTGGGGATGCTGCTTGGCCACGTCTGGTCCAGCTCCCAGCTTCAGGTTATCCCGTCCTGACATGGCCCAGCCGCAGCAGGGCCGGAGGGAGGTAAGGGGGGGACGGCAAAGGGGTGCCAGCGGCGAGCGAGGACGGCTGATCGCCTGCACCTCCGGGTCCGGGGGCAAAGAGAGGGGCAGGCGACAGCAACGCCTGCAGCATCTTCCCCGGGCGTGAGCCGAACGTGCTCCCTCGCAGGCGGGTGCTCGGAGGAAATCATGCATTTCCCCATTGCTGCTGCGTTTCTGCAGCGATCCTCTATTTTTTGCACCACCTGCTCTTGGACAGGTTGCATCCTTGCTCCATAAAAGCAGAGGGAAGGGGTGGCCCAACGGTGCCGGGCGATTCCTCCCACTCCTTGGTCCCACCGCAAATGGGACCGCAGCCGAGGCAGAGGTGTGCTCGGGACGTGCCGGGGATGCTCCCAGCCCTGCCCCACGCCCGCGGGCTTGTTCTTTTGGGTGCTGGCAGCTCCCGGCTGCCCGGCAAGTCCAGGCGGTCCCGGGAGGCACGCGAACGGAGGAGCGGCGTGCACGCTCCTGGCAGGCAGCACCAGGATTTTGGCTGGATGCGGGAACGGGTGAGGCATGGTAATAAAAACGTGCCTGGCCTGAAATAGCACTGAAGCTGGGTGTGTGATGGGGATGGCTCGCTGAAAAAATATTTACCTCCTATTTCACAGCCTGAGGTTATGCGGGATGGGGAGGTGTAACATGGAGAGGAAAGGTGGGGGGAAGATGCGTCCTCCTGTCCGTCCATCCCCGACCGCCTCCACAGGGCTCTGCTTGCTACGCTGAATTTTGCAGCTGGGGGAGGCAATAAGGCAGGAAATGCTGAGCAGAAAAGCAGAGGAGGTCGGGGAAGGGGCATGGGAAGGCAGAGGCTGCTTTCAACCACAGCCCTTCCCCGCACGGCCCCCCCGAGGACGGGAGAAGCTGGGTGGGAAGCGGGGAGCAGCGCGGGCACTTGCAGGAGGCTGGGAAACAGCGAGGGGGGCGGTCGGAAGGGGCTTCGAGGTGATCCGAAGGAGGCTGCCAGGTTTTCTAGGATGTCTTTCCCTTCTCCTTGGATGAAAAGATGCAACTGAAAATGAGCTGTTGGAGTGGAGGGGGATTTTAAAAAAAAAAAAAAAAGGGGGAGGGGGAAAAAAAAAAAAAAAAAAAAAAAAAAAAAAAAAAAAAAAAAAAAAAAA